CGCAGGTTGCACAAAAAAAAGGTGCGATGCAAAAGAAAAATCATTTAATCATTTCTAAAAAAAGATAGAAGAAACATGTAGACATCAAGAAGGTTAAAAAATTTCAATACAAAGCTTCGATGGAACTTATGTTCAAATATTAATTCCAAAAGGGTATTTGTATGAAACTCCTTATTTTTATAAAAAAAACTATGGTAGTCATGTTATGATCTTTAAAAAAACTATTAGGATATACATGCCAAGGTTTCGTCAAGTCGCTGCACATTCTCAGTCATCAACTCTAAGCTATTCTACACGAAAAGGTACAATACAAAGTAAGCACACACCTCTGCTTAAGCACATGTATATGTCCTTCTTGAAACAACAGGGCAAGCCTATGTTGGTTGCATATTTTGCTCACATAGGTGACCCAAAATCTTAGTGTTAAATCTCAGCCCTCAGTTCCCTCATAGATCCAACGACTACGAATAAAGATCAGTGGGAAGCCTTCTAGAAAGACATTGAGTACCTTCCATAGCTAGACATTTTATTTAGGAAGGATTTTATTTCAGCAATTATTAACTATTTTGTAGTTATTTGTTTCTTCATTAGACCTCTTGTATAGATCTATAAATAGGGAGTATATTGTATAATAAAGTAAAGCTTTTCCCTCTCCAATCTTCCGAATTCAACATAGTATCAGAGCCAACGGCCTTCATTGCTATTGTAGAATGATCGTAGATCATCAAAGGAGGAAAAGAAGAAGAAATCAATGTCTTGCCTTGTCGCAAACGAAGCACCTGCCGACAGAAGCTTGCCGACCGACGTCGAAGCGGAGCCTTGCCAAGGACGGACGCCACAGACAGAGCCCCTGCCGATGGAAGCTTGCCATCTGAAACTATCGATCCGACAGAAAGGGAAAGTCGAACAACAACGAAAGACATAGAAGACCTAGCCGACTGGAACTTCCGATCCGACAGGAAGGGAAAGTCATCGAAGGAGCGTAGTCGAAAAACCACGAAGGAGCTGAAGAAGCAACATGTGCCTACACTTCCTGCAAAGCAAGGAAGCCAAACAACAATGAAGGAAAAAACCCCGCTCGAACCGCTCCCAATCCAAAGCATACCATTGCTTGCATAGCTACCCGGTCCAACTCTTAAAAGGATTCACAGGTTATTTAAAAAAAATGGATCATCGACCTTTATTGTCGTAACTAAAGATCAGAGGGATCTTACTTTTTGAAGCCTTTATTGCTACCCAGAATCAAATAGATAGTCTTCATTATTATCATTTGACCCAAAAAAGTCATATACTAATTCTTCTCCAAACACTAATCAATTTGAGGATTTTATGTTGCACAAAAGACAAGGTGACCTCCAAAGCATGTAACATTCCTATCGCCTAAATGGGAAGAACAATTTAAAGTGGTCTCAATTTGTGAAGACCTACTTAAAAGGGAAAGGAAAAATACAACACTTTCTCGAAGGACCAAAGGAAGGAGATCCTAATTTTTGGGCATGGGATGAAGCAGACTCCATGATTATGTCATGGTTGTGAAATTCAATGACTCTAGAAATTAGCAATACATTTATGTTCATTTCCACTGCAAAGGACATATTGGATGCTTCCAGACAGACCTTCTCCAAAGCTCAGGATGCGGCTCAAAATCTTTGAAATTAAAATCAAAGTAGAAAGCACAAAGCAAGGAAGTAAGACTGTGACGGAGTATGCCACTCTTATACAAAATCTAAGGCAAGAACTTGATCACTACATATGCATAGAAACTAGATGTTTAGAAGATGTTGCGATCCTAAGGAACTTTATTAAAAAAGATAAGAGTTTATGATTTTCTTGCAAGACTAAATGCAAAATTTGATCAGGCCAGAGTCCATATCCTCGACAAAGAGGAGACGTCATCACTTAATGAAACCATTGCTCTCATCCGCGTGGAAGAAAGCTGATGAGGAGTAATGTTAGAACCAAAGGTCATTGAAAGTTCAACAATAAAGATGAATAGAGAATTGCCATGAAAGGAGAAAGGTAAAGATTCCCCAAAATTCAAAGAATCACTTTGGTGCAGTTATTACACGAAGTCAAGAAACACAAAGGAAACGTGCTGGAAAATACATGGAAATCCCCCCAGCAAAGAATTGAATTAAATAAGTGAAACAAGGAGCACATCGCTCGCCAACAAGACAATAAGTCAGCCCAACCTAGAAGCACAGTCCAGCCTTGGTGAACTCAATAAAGAAGATATTGATAAACTAAAATGACTCCTGGTATCTCTTGAAAAGCCAAATGCATCTTCCTCACTTGCACTCTCAGGCAAGTTTTCTATTTCCATTAGTTTAAGTTCCTCTAGAAATCATTTAAAGGAAGTATGGATCATTAATTTAGGAGCCACAGATCATATTACCCACTCACATACCCACTTCATCAACTATACTCTTTGCCCAAGCAACAAAAAAATCATCACTGTTGATTGTTCTCTTACCATGATAACAGACTAAGGAGACATAACATTATCTCCTTCACTCACCCTAAAAAATATGCTCCATGTACCTCAATTATCCACAAACCTAATATCAATACAAAAACTTATCAGTGATTATAATTGTCAAGCTTTATTTAATCCTGCTTATTACTTATTTAAGGACCAGAGATCGGGGAAGAAGATTGGACTTGCTAAGGACAAAGCCGGATTGTACTACCTAGAAAAACTGAACCAATCTAAAAATAGTTGTTATGTTATCCCTAGTTAATAAGAAATTCACTATTTGACTTCATCATTGTAAGTTAGGATACCCATCTTTTAATGTCCTGAGACATATGTATCCACAACTTTTTTAGAAATTAGAAAATAAGCATTTTTATTATGAAACTTGTGAGTTAACTTAACATAAGAACTTTCTCAAATAAAAATTAGAGATGTGATACTCCTTTCCATCTTATTAATAGTAATATATGGGGACCTTTAAAAATCCCCAATATCTCTGGGGCACGCTGGTTTATATCATTCATTAATGATTACAATAGAATCTCTTATATCTATTTCCTCAAAAATAAATCCAATGTTAGCCCCAATCTTCCCATTTTTCATAATATGATCCAAAATCAATTCGGGATAAAAATAAGGATATTTCGCTCTGATAATGCTAAAAACTATTTCAACCAAAACCTTTCCTCATACTTCCAAAGTGAAGGGCTCGTCCATGAGTCATCATACGTTCACACCCCACAATAAAATGGGGTTCCAAATAGAAAAAAAATGGTCACCTTCTAGCCTCCACTTAAGCTTTCTTATTCTACTACAATACACTCAAATCCCATTGGCGGGAAACTCTCCTAACTACAACTTATCTCAAAAAACTGACTACCTTCAATAACCCCAGGACTCAAAACTTCAATGGAGATTTTGTCCTCATTTTACCCCGAGTTTAGAACTCATCATAACCTTATACCCATAATCTTTGGGTGAACCGCCTATGTTCACATTCAAGCCAAGAT